CTATTCAGCACATTCAGATGCTCGGCTGTGGCTGCTAAACACACACAAGTTTTTACACATCCTGTTCAAAGACTTGAAATACCACCTGGAAGAGGTGAAAGAGTTTGAAAATTTACTATATATACCTAATTTAAGAATTTTCAGAACTCTCTATTGACTGAACAAGGCACAGAAGTTTGACATTAAAATCACTGAGGCATCCCAGCTGACATTTAAGTTTGTGGTAGCCTTCAGAGATTCTATTGAGAACAGAAACCTTTTCACCTGTTCATACTTTCAAGAGAGGCATCTTTTCTCTCCTCTGAGGTACGGAAACAGAGCTGCACAGACAGCAGCTTGGTGAGGGTATCTGTTCTGTTGCGTGACTTCTGGTGGGGAGGAGACCACCCTCTTTTTTTTTGAGTGTCACAGAACACAGCTTGATTTCTGTGAGCTGGGGCCAAAGTTTTCTTTCTTTTCTTTTTTTCCTCTCCCTGCTCCCCTCCTTCCTTCCCCCCGCATGGTGTCTGCTTTCAAGATTGCTTCAATAGCCAGCATTGTAACATACAGAGATGGATTTCCACAAAATTAATTTCAGGGCTTGGATAGGAACTGATTATGAATCTTTGTAGTCCTACAGATGAAGTCATTAAGAAAGAACTCAGAGTGGAATGCAGCCAAGGTTCTTAGCAAGAGCATGGCAGTGGTTGCACAACAGAATATGGGAAGAGTAAGAAAAATGACACAACATAATCATTTCATATCATTCATTAGTTTCTCCAAACAATGAAGGAACACAGTGGCACATGTTAAATCAAAACAGGCCTCTACAAAAAGTAGCAGAACTACACATGTGATCCAGCAGGATTTTGAGGTGAAAGATATTTGGATTAAAATCTTAATTGTCACAAATCTATTTGAAATACATCCATAATATTGTAGTGGTTTCAGTGGTATTTTAAACAAGCATTTAAAGTTCCTCATGTGCAGTAATTTAATGCAGTAAATGGAATTATAAAAATTGTAACAGTGTATACAAAAAAGTTAGAAGTCATATACTTCATTATATTATAAAATAGATTGATAATTTTCCATCATATTTTTACTAGAATTTTTTTCTTTATTTTTTTTTTCTCTTGAAAGGAGAGGAAAATAGCAGTAGAAGAAGGAGAGTGATAAGATCCTCACGTAAACTAAGTTTTGCTTTTTGCACAGTTTTTTATGGTGCTCAGCTAACATTACCCACAGCATTCCCAATAACATCATTTATGCCATCTCAGCTTTTACAAGATTAGGTTTGTTCTAAAGACCTGTAGTTTGTTTTTCAAATCAGTATTTAATCTTCAAAAAAAGCCTTTATCAGTTAAAAAAAAGCCAAACAAACAAAAAAAAAAACAACCCTACAAACATATATGTCTAGTGTTTTAATCCCAAGCACTTTAAGCTGAATGCAAAATATACAAAATATTTGGACAAGACGCAAGACATGTTTAGGATGGATTCATTTTATTCCCCTTTCTGTAACTCAGCTGTCCAGTGTGTAAGATTACCACTTGGAATCTGGAAAAGAAATGCTCAGTTTCCTCCTCTATCTGATCTATACCATGGATTTCCAACACATCTCTGGAAAGGACTCCTCACCATTGAAAACGGGATGTCTTGAAGGATTCATGATCTGTAATTCCTGCAGCCCTAAGGATAACTAGTTCAGACATAAAAATTATCTGATAAACAGCTGAGACAATTCTCCCTTTGAAGTTGTTTGCTTTACAGATGGATGTGCTGTTGAAAGAAGTATTTCTCCTTCTTTTCCACTAGTGCTCTATCCATGTGTCCCATGTTCTGGCTGTGTGACCCAAGTAGGTGACTATAATCCTCCTCTGGGATATTTAAGTTTTGTTTAAAGTCAAACTGCTTCAAAAATAATAATGGGAGAGCATCAGGCATTATTTCATAGAATCATAAAGAGTTAAGGGGCTGGAATGGACCTTAAAGACCATTTAGTCCCAGCCTACCCAACATAGGCAAGGACAGCTCCCTCTAGACCAGGTTGCTCTAGGCTTATCCAACCTGGATTTCATTATCCATTTCTTTGCATTACCCATTTCTCATGAAAGGATGTGATTTCTGTTGCAGGTTACAGCTACACATCCCAGTGGAGTGTTGCCCAGAGAAATTATTTTTCTCAAAACCAAATAGAGATATTACAACAGGCTTATACCAAAGCTATCAGACTCTGCTTCTGAGTTGGAGCAGCTTAATGCTGACTTCCTGGGCTGGCTTCAAGGCCTTTTGCTCAGGTGTCTGTGAATTACAGTCCCTATCAGAGTTGCTGAAATGGCCTTAGATAACTCGAATAGAAATGGATTTGCTTCTTGACACAGCATTGATAGTGGTGTCAATTCGTGTGAACTGTAGGCCTCTGAGATATGGATTTCTGTGCTAATTTTCCTATGCTCTATTTATATTCAGTGAAGAGAAATAGAAATTCTTGTGGCCTAATTTATCTCATCTACTGAAATATTTCAGTTGGATTGCTAAGATATTCCTTTTTTTGACCAGTTACTGTAAAGAGAGCATCTGTTCAGCAGCACATGCTTATACTGCATTTAGTGAAGAATCTCACCTTAGTTGTCTGTCACTTGCTTCACACTTCTTGCATACTAAGAACACATCATTATACTGATCCTGAGAGTCTGAATGCTCCAGGCAGGATTCACTGATGCACTGGGGATTGAATAGCACAGAGGAATTTCGTAGATATGAAAGAGTTAAAATGACATTATGAGGTTGATATTATGAGCTGATAAAGAAAAAAAAAAAAGGCAAATAAAAGCAAAATTGCAGAGAGAGAGAGAAAAGGTTCATATGTGCTGACATGCCTGTCCTGGCACAGTTTAGCTTAATCCACCCTACTTGCTTTTTTCACCCTATTCTTCAATCCTCCCTTCCAGAAACAGATTTAGGTATCCCTTTATCTCTGTGAGACTGTACTTCAGTTACCTTCACTAGTAACTTATTCCATATGTCTCCTTCTCTGAGAGTGAAGCAACCCTGCCCAAGTCCCTGTTTGTTCATTCTTACCTAATATTTCAATTTAGTCCCTAAGTTTTCCCCTTTAAGTAGTAATAACAAAAGACCACCCTTTGAGGTTGCTTTATATTTTCACTCCCTTTCTTAATACTGAAAGTTTCAACTACACCATCTCCCAGATTTTCTTTCCCATGGAGAATAGCACCACTTCCCACATATTTTTTTCAATTTACATACACATATATATGAGTAAAAAAACCAGAACTGTTAAGAATAAAAATTTAACATTTCCTCTTTTATTTTTTTTTTATCACATAGCAAGAACTTGGTCCTGAAAAAGTCTTTAATCAGGTGACAAATCCAATTAATCCAATATAGCAGACAACATCTAAGAGGTCCTAAATGCTGACTGGGAGGACAGAGAAGCAGAACATAGTCTCATGTCAGGTAGTCATAACACATATGGCTTCTCCAAGTCATGCCACCAGGAATAGGTGCAGCAGTATATTATAAGCAGAACCAGCAGAAAGGAGAAAGAAAAGGTCTGAAAAGCTCTGACATTTCTTTTTGGAAGGAAAATGTCTTTTAAATATTTTTCTGTTAGAACTGGTGCTAATGGTGAAAAATCAGATTTTCTTATCTAGAGACATATAGTGAAGTAATGAAGCACTGATGTGCCAGAGTAAGCCTTCTTTTTTTTTTCTTTTATAAAGATAATATAATTGTTTTTATATACCTTCAAACAGGATTAACATTGAAGAGATAAAAATGGAAAAATGGAGAGGAAAAAGACACTTTTTACTGCCTGATTCTCTTCTGTCTTACATTGAGCTCTGGTTTACACTGGCAGCTGTCCAGTGGCTTGCTGCTGATTTATACCTTCATTTGTGAACTTCAGGCTTTGAGAACAGGCTGCTGTTATAGTTAATACACTAGACACAGATTAAAACAATTTGACTTTAATTCCTGGGGTTGCCAAACTGTCCTAAAAACAGAGCCTAAGAAAGATGTTTCTGAAAGCAGATCCATGATTTTGGAGCTTCCTAACCATTTTGCTGAGTTGCTTAGGTACTCTGTCTGATCAGTTTTCCTTGAAAAAGAGTTCTTGGCTGTATTCATTAAGAGATTTACAGGTCTGCATCTTTAGATTCAAAAATGAAAATTGAGTTTTTCATGGACCGCCTTTTCAACTGCTCCTAAATTTGTGGATACTGTAAGTCCATCACCTTCTTGTTAGAATGGTATTTTACAATCATCTTCAGGTCTCCCTAAGAATCTGCCTCAACTTCATTTGTACTCTCATCTCTTCCATACTCAAGTGCACACACAAAAACCTCCAGCCCAATCCACTTGGTGTTGCTCAATGTACTTGGAATATGAGATTCTGCAAAAAGCATTGATGAAGATTTTTGCATTCCCAGGTTCTGCTATTAATACATAGCTCAGGGGTTAGGACATATGAGGAAACTAGAAAGGCTGTCTTTCTTTTTAGCTATAAGGAATTTGAACTTAACTTGCCCCACACTTTTTTCAGTCAAAACTGCTCCACTTTATGCAGAAAAATTAAATATTAACTGGGCCCAAGACAGTGACCTAGTTTACTTCTAGCTCTTGCTCTACAAACTAGTTAGTATAAGCCAAGGAATTATTAACTAGAAAAAGAAATAGAAACCAGAGCTATTTTTGTTCAGGTGAGTTCTATAAGTGTTTAAAAAAATTTGTTTTCTTTTGTTTTGACCTAATTTGTGCTTGAATATTCCATGCAAAATACAGCTGTTTCCACAGGAAAGAAAGACATTTTATAATATCTGGGTCACATCAATTATTCTTCTAGAAAGTAATACAATAGATTTGGATTACTATAGGTATTGTGAAAGAATATATTAATTATTAATTTCAGGGGAAAAAAAAACCCAACTGTCAGAGTTACACATTAAATAGGGGGTGGAGAGGGTGGGTGTTCTACAACCCTACAAACTCATTTTTGTGTGGCTGTTCTTTGAAAGACAAAATGTGAATAGGACCCAGATCCTCCAATGAAAATTTGGTGTTTTTCATTCCCAAGAAGGAGACCTTAGGGATCAGGTAAGAATGTAATGTCTTGGAGGAGTTTTATTGTTTCCTACAGGCCATAATAAGTAGCCACAAACTAGGGGATTCAGATAATAGGGCATGTTAAGGATTTTTAGAGAACAGGAGGTGGTATATTTTTCATGTATGACCTCCCAGTGGAATTCACAGCCTCTGAAACAGTAACATAAGCTTCCCAACAATGAGGAGTAAAAAATAAGCACCTGAAAACAGAACTCAGAAAAGCCAGAATTTTAAGTGAATAAGTGGTTATAGTCAGGATGGAAACCCTTAGGAGAAGATAAGGATTACTTAAGTAGTAAATCCTTCCATTCAAAAAGAAAACAAACCACTTTCCCTTCATAATAAATAACTCATCACATCGAGCGCTCTGACATGAGATTAGATAGCTCAAATTCAAAGCTGACTTAAGGGATTTGAACCTACAAAACATACCTTCACTGTCTAAATCTTCAAACAATGAAACTCACTGGGGTGTAGCTCTTGTTGAAACTTGACTAAAAATAATATTTGAGAGAGGGGAGAAAATACCTTTTCTGCAGGTGACTGCCACACTTTCTTGAGAGACAGATTTAATTATCTAATTTAGTACATACTTGAGTACTTCACTAGAGGTAAAAATATTTCAGAAAGAAATCCTGATTATTGCCTAAAATAGTATTCTAGACCAAGGAACAGGACATCTCTGAGAGGTGAAAGTGGACTGGAAGCCTTGTGCAGCAGTTTGTGACAGGGGTGCACAACTGATGCCCTGCCTGAGCCACTCAGCCATTGAGCAGAGCAATGCAGATGTGTCATGGAGTGGAGCAATGCAGATGTGTCATGGAGCAAAGCAATGCAGATGTGTCATGGAGCAGAGCAATGCAGATGTGTCATGGAGCGGAGCAATGCAGATGTGTCATGGAGCAGAACAATACAGATGTGTCATGGAGTGGAGCAATGCAGATGTGTCATGGAGCAGAACAATACAGATGTGTCATGGAGTGGAGCAATGCAGATGTGTCATGGAGCAGAGCAATGCAGATGTGTCATGGAGCAAAGCAATGCAGATGTGCCATGGAGTGGAGCAATGAAGATGTGTCATTGAGCAGGCTTCCCACACCCATACCCCAAGGCCTCCACCCTTAGGAACTAAAGGCCTAATGCAGAGGAGAATTAATTGCCTGCAGGAGTTACTTCCACTGTACTGTGGAGAAACCAGGGACATGGAGTTGAGGGATTCTGTGATTCTGAGTGTCCTAGAAAATGTCTTCCTTAAGCTCTCTGCATCTTATAAAATAAGGATGATGCTTTGTCCTACTTTTGTCTCTTCCAGTTTAAGTAATTTCTACCCTGTACTACCCAGCAGTAGTCTTGTGACATTTCCCAAGCTGGAGGCATGTGAAAACTATTTGTTATTGTAATAAAAATAATAACAATAGGATCATCTTGAATCAGTGCTTCTCTCAATTTCTGACTGATTTAGGCTGCCTGTGAGGCCTAAATCATATAATTAACAAATTTTCTATTGAGCTTTTACCTATTTTGGCTACAGCTGTTAAAATGTGATTATAAGCTGTGAGCTGGTTCTGTTATAAAATGCCTCTATAATGTTTTTATAGAAAAAATCTTAGTTTACTTTTGGTGATTTCATTGTACTGTGATTTATATTTAACACCTCTGTTTTCCATTGTCAGCAAGAGCTAGTACTTCCAAGTGTTCATTTTACTGATCAGAATTTTATTAACAGTACAGAAAGCTCACAACAAGCTGGTATTCATTACTAGAAGTATAGAATTTTAAGATTAAATTTATAGTTTAATAACTCACTGATATTTTCACCAAGAATGTGTTCACTGTTGGATACCCAGTTGTTTTTTTATAATTTAGGCCCGCCATCAGAAATTAATGCTTTCTTCTTCTGAACTTAATCTGATTTATAAACTACAGAGGATACACACACACACACATGTCCACACTCTATCATCTTACACAAAGAGCAAATGATATGTGACATGACATTGCATAGCCTGTTGCTTTAAGTCAATACTGTCAAACAGTATTGAAGAGTTTAAAGCAATGGCTTACAGGAATTCCAGTAACACATACAATGTTTTGTTTCTTCTGCTTCTGAACTCAGTTTCAAGCCTTTCTCAGTGATGGAGAAGAATAACAAGGATGTTCCATACCACTGCATGAATAATTGACAGCAATGTTTTCTCACTGACATGATACATTTGAGCTATATAATGCAATATTTTGTGCTCCGAGATACACATGCTCATACCTGCACACATAAATATAAACATACACATGTATGTCTACTTTTGAACCTGTTAAACAGTTCCACAGAATGAAACAGTCCTATAAATATACTCCTTTTATTGAGAAAAAGTATAGGTAACTGTGCTGAACCCAATACAGCTGTATCAGGTGACACTAAACAAAAATTTGGTCCAATATCAAATGACACTAAATAAAAATTTGGCCCAAATCTTCTCAGCTAGACCTACACAATGTAGTAGCCTTTTTTATTGTGTCAGCAGCTAGGTTTCAACTCATGTAAATAATTAGTAGTTGTACCATTACCATGATTAAAACCTTGGTGTTAAATACTGTTTAAGTCTTGTAAACCTAAGGTGACAGAAAGCAATAACTACTCATATTTCCTTTTAAATGAATTTTCTTAGTAATGAAATAGGATGGATTGAATCAGTGTTCAAGTAATGAGAGTGAAGAGTATCAATAGAATAATCAGGATAGGAACAGCTGGGTTTTTAAGAACATTTGTTAAATTGCTGAGGAGATTGGTGTAACTCTATAAAAGGCAAAACCAAATTTTCCTTTCATAATATATTAAAAACGTCATATTTGAAGGAAAAAAATATATTACTTGAAATAGACACTGGTTTTGTAACGAGATTTTGGAATATAATTTAGCAACCAAATAAATTTTTTGGGAAAAAAAGGACAAGTCAGCATGTAAAAAAAATACTCTGTAACCCACCATTGCCTTGCTTTCATTCTTGCATACATTACTTTTTTGAGGCTAGGAACAATTATCTTTTTTTAATCTGAAAAAATATTTTATTGCAAGGATTTATCCTGCTCAGCTGTTGATTCCTTTAAAATTGTTGTTTTTCTTCCACAGTCTGTAGTTTTAATAATTTCAAGAGACATCTCATTTAACATACGAGAAGACAGTATTTTCAAAGGTTTCCTTGAAGTAAATTCACTAGATGCTCATCTGAATTGAAATTTGTCCATGTTTTTGATTTGACAGAAATTCTGAGAGGGTTTGGCTCCAGGCTGAGTGAAGAAGTGCTTACTGGCAGAGCCACATGGCCAGCGACCTGGGCACAGGGCAGTTTCATTTGAGGATCAATTAGCTTCAATTTACACAATTAAGATCCATGGCATTTGGCCAAGCAAGGACATTAAGGTTTGTAAGGTAGGAGGGAAAGGCTCAGTAATTACTGTCGTTAATGACCAAACTGGAGAGGGCTTTAAGCACCAAGAGGATCAGGATCTGATGTTGATGCATGCTCTTGGGGGACCACCAGAGGACCTTGTCAGCAGGTGTGGCTCAGTGTTTATCAGGGTGGCTCCCTGGAGCTGATAGCAGTGCTTGACTCACAGCACACACAGGTGTGAATAACTACTGAAAAGGAACGTGGGCCAGTGAATTTCAAGTTGTATTTCTCTCACTCTCAAGCTGGAATACTCAAACATATGTTTCCCAACGAGGATTGTACTCTTTTAGAACTTAAGACTCAACATGTTTCCATTAATTCCAGTCAATGTGTTTTAGACTTTTCCTTCATTTGTCTGGAAAGCATCCAATACATGACATGATTTCTCTTTCCTCTCTATCAGTTATTCTTATGCTAAATGGAGATATGAAAGCACAGAAATGTTCCCAATATCACTTACTCATTTACACAGTCTTCTACCCTCCCACGTTGCCTGCTGTGCTCAAAATCCCTTGTCTTCAGTTACATACTTAGTTAAATAGATTTCCTTTAATCTTAAACTATTTCAAATGTAAATCTTGAAGGGCATGATATTGCACCCATTGAAGTCTTTCCAATGTGCAGAGATGGCCCAACTATAAAGAAATATCACCAAGGGAACTCTGATGCAGTGGGGAAGATTGAACAAAAGGCTGAATAAAGATGACAGTATTTCATGAGTGACTGTGTTCAAATGTAGATGGCAATGTTGTACTTTTTCTGCCACTGGTGGATCTTGGAAAGTCAGCCCTTATGAAGACTGTAAACTTGACTTCAATATCATGACCTTTTTTGTCAGAATAACCAACAATAAAATTATTTTTTACAATTTTCAGGAGGCCATAAGAAATACACTATGAGTCTCTTGCCTCAACTGTCCTCACAAAACTTTCTGTGAAGATTCCCCATTGCCTTATACCTGGTATAATGGGACTTTGATTTGTGTCCTGCTCACAAAAATTATAAATATGGAGGGTAAATGAGTGGGGCTGTGTGATCAGGAGATCTATCCCAGTAAATATTTCCTGGTAGATGGCTGTAAACCAAAATACCTGGAAATCCCCAAATCTTAGAGCTGTCAGTGGTTATTGCTACCATTAGTGTTGAGGAATGGCTTTAAACTGAAAGAGAGTAGGTTCAGATTGGATATCAGGGTGGAGAGGTACCAGACCAGGCTGTTCAGGTAAGCTGTGGATGTCCCATCCCTGAAAGTGTTCAAGGCAGGTACAATGGGGCTTTGAGAAGCCTGGTCTAGTAGATGGCCCTGCCCATGGCTTGGGGTGCTTGGAGCTAGATGAATTTAGTCCCTTCCTACTCAATCTTAAGAGAAATGTCATGAAAAATGGTATTTTCTGAAGAACAGGCACTGCTGCTCACAGCTTGAAAAATGTAGTTTTCTACATTTCTAATCCTTTCACTAATTAGTGCCACTTGTGAGAATTCCATGGTAATAGTGATATTTCAGATATGTAACTTGGTTTTAATTTTCAATCTTGTGAAACATTTTCACATATCTTCCAACATAAAATGATAAATGTCTGAAGGAAATGCTTGGTTGTATTATATAACTGGTAATCCATAGATATGTTTAACAAGAACTGTAAGCAACAGGAATTATTAATATCCTTTTACTCCTGCCCCTTACCTAGCATTACTCCAGAGTGAAAAGCAAGATTTTGAACCACTGATTCATGGTTGATGGATTTGTTCTCTGAATTTTGTTATGTTATGGTGGATTTGGAAATGGAAACCTTGCAAGTGAGATAATTTCATATCACTGTTGGTATTCTCATATACCCCTTTCCCACAGCTTTGACGGTGTTGTTTTCAGCTAATGGCATGCAATAAATATTTTGTGAAACATAGAACATTTCTGAGGTTTTATTAAGGGATATTTAAAAATATACAGCTCTACAGCATTTCCTGAAGGATTTAACCTTGATTCTCTTTAATGAGCAAGTAATGCTTATCACAAACCTGAAATGTGTTACTGTAAATTTTCCAGTAGTTATAAAACACCTTTTTTTCCAGACACTTGCTTTAAAGCACTATTGCAAAAAAAACCCCATGTATTTGCAAATGGAAAACTGGAAGCCAGCATTTTAAACCATCAAAACTGGCATTTAAAAAATTCTGAACAGAAGAAAAATGGAGCATTAATTTCCATATAACCAAGTAAGTCTAAAAAAATAACTATTCAAAAATATATTTCAGATTTAAAAAAAGAAAAAAAAAAACACATGCAAATTCTTGTCTGTGGTATAGCAAATTAATTCTTCTAATCATAAATGTAGAGATGAATCTGAATTGTAGAGTTATTTTAGGCCAGAAGGAACCTCTGGAATTATCTGATCCAACTCCTTTCTCAAGAAAGGTTTAGATAAAGCAAGTGCTCAGGACCTTGACCACTTAAGTGTTGAATGTCTCAAGGTCCAGTCTGTACACTGTCCCTCCTCATACAAGCTGTAGTGCAAGAGAAAGCAAGAACTTAATCATATGTCATTTACACCTCATTAAATTAGCCTTATGTTTTGGATCATCAGCTTATATAAAGACAGCCTGTAGATCAGACATCCTTAGGATGATAAAAAAATTTGTTTCCTTGGGGCTCTAAGCAACCACACCTCTAAGCCTCCAACAACTCCAGCTTTGATACATTTTGGAAAAAGAAATAAAACTGTGATAGAAAATCAGTAATGGGGGAAAAAATCCTAAAAATACCCCACAACAACAAATTGGCAAAATCAAAGCATAGCTACAAGTAAAGCTTTGAACTAAACCTCAACCATTGTGGCATTTCAAAACCTGGTGAGAAAAGCATGCTGCATATAGAATGAGTGGAAACTTCCAGTTGAGAAATATAATTCTCATCCAGGAATTCATATTGGTGAACTAATACTGAGATGAAAGGTTGGGATCAGCAGAAGCCTGGGTTGTGTTGCAGTCCTCTGCTGTGGGTGTTCCCATATGAATCTGCCGTAAACTGTGGTGGTTTTTTTGTGCTGTGCATAAAGCTTTTTTGTTTCAGACCAAGGTGAGACTTGTAAATTTCTTCTTTCATATTTTCCTTTATTTTCTGCAGAAGTAAATCCATACTGCCACTGTCAACACAACCATAATCTCAGTGATTACTTGCTGGCTATTTCATGTTCTATTAACTGATAAAGCAACACCCACTAAGTGGGTGATTATTCAAACCACAAAGCTGTGATGATTAGGTATTGAAAACAGAATTGTTTTAATACGACATCTTTAGCTGAGTCTTTTTGTAATGCCATAAGGACAGAAAAAAAATGCACTGTAGACAACCAAATTATAATTTTATTTACAATTTTTCTTTTTAAATTGGAAGTTTCACAGGGAATTTGCATAATGAACTGATCTGTATGTTTTAAACAAGAAATCTAATCTTATTGGAATATGTTTCAGGATTCTTGGATTCATGAGCCTATAAGGAAAAGGCAAATCATGCGCTAATTAAAGGAATTTTTAAAAGGAATTTGGGAAAGACCTCTCAGGTCTGAGGTCTTTCCCAAAAGAGGTAAAATGTCAGTAAAATCAATGCAGATAAGTTAACTTAGAGCAGTATAAAATCTGGTCAGAATTTTTTCCTATTGGAATTCCAGTAACTTTGTAAAGATCATATTACTCTGCTCTCCTGGAATTGTGTGGAAAATGTTGTGACATCTAGAAAAACTTCTTGGAGAGATTTTCTGTGTTTTCTGGGTTTGGATAGGCTGTGGCCCTCATAAAAACCCTCCCTCTGAGCCAAATGTAGTAAATTTAGAAATACAAACACAGAGCTGATATTCATTTTCTTCATCCTCAATGAAAAAGTTTCAGCTCAATTGACTCTGAGTTCTGATTCATTTAATTATATTGAAAATGCCATCTGTCCATCTGCCCTACACATATTCTTGAAATGTATATTCTAAGCTTTGTATCTGAAGAAGAGATGGAAGAAGTTCAGGTTTAGCAAATAATTAAATCACTCAAAAACTGGCCTGTGATCACAAGAGTTATCTCATTAACTTGGACCACAGATTAAAGATCTTGACTGGAATTGTCAGCTTGCTAAAGCCAGTGGGATTTCTGCCATTGTTTTCCATAGCTTTGAGATTTCAAATATCCTTTGAATACATCTTGCAAAATATTCCACCAGAAACCATTTTTATTGGGGTGAAATTCTCAATTACTTATCAGGATATGATCATTATTACCTTTTGCTTGGGGTTGTCTTTGGAATAAATGTTCAGAATTACCTTCCATTGCTCCTCATATGTGACATGACTGATTTTCTCACTGGCTGCTCTCCATGCATTAAATTAATTGAGTTGCAATAGAACAATTGGAAATAAAGCCCATTATTTTCTAAGAACATAAGGAAAGTAGTATTTAACCTTCCTTGAAGTCAATAGCAATTTTACACTTAATTCCTTTAGGCTTTTTGTATTATTTCATGCCTCCAGTTAATAAAAAAGTAAAGGTTTTTGGCCTCCTTTATAAAAAAATATTCTATACATCCCAGTGTACCTACCATTGCAAAGGAGCTGTTCCCTTCTCATTTCCTAAGTCCCTTAATTTTATCCACATGCCTTTCACCAGTGTCTGTGCCCAGACTGGGAAGTGAGATGTGTGTCCAAATGTATTTTTATGAACAGACTGCAGAACCCATTAGGCTTTAAAACTTGATTGCCCATCAGCTGTTCTCTGTAATTGTTTGCTTATTTTTTAACTTTAACAGAACACAAAGAGTCTCAAAGCTGAGGCTACCATGGGTACATTTTAACTCTTTCTCTCCTTGTCTTATTTCATATTACCTTTACAAGCCATTAATTAGCATCTGTAAGACAGGACCTTAGCCATGAATTTCTGCAACTGGGAATTCCCCAAAGTGCTCTAAATTCAGCAATGCTTGCACACATGAAAAGGTTACAACAATATTGTAACATCAGGGCCCTGCAGTCTGTCAGGACTTTTCTGTTCTGTTCCTGATTGTATCTCTGTGTTGATATAGCAACTTGCTCTTCACTACAGATGGCAGGGAGAAAACCCTCCCATAGAGCAGCTTTTCATCAAAAAACACTATTCCACCAAAATAAGAATGTTCTGTGAAAATGCTTCACTACTGGATTTATTTTGTTCAAAAGGAAAAATAGAGAAGGATGCAACAAAGAAGGGGCAGGTCTGCAGCCTGCTGCTCCTTGTCTTAATATTTAATTTTTATTTTTTGAGATAATGACAACTTACTCTTGGGTGAAAAACTGATATCAGCATCAGGAATGTTGATCTGCTCCTCCTGCCAAGAGATGCAGAAACAAAGTGGTGGAAGAGGCTCCTGATCCCTCTGGCCCCAGGATCCTTTTGTCTGTGGCAGTGGCTGCAGTGCTCTGCCTTCAGCAAAATGGAGATGTAGAAACAAAGTGGTGGAAGAGGTTCCTGACCCCCTGGCCCCAGGATCCTTTGTCTGCGGCAGTGGCTGCAGTGCTCTGCCTTCAGCAAAATTGTAGAGAGGACAAGGGCTCGACTGGGTGGTTTGGGCACCTGCTTGAGAAAAAATTAACTGTAATTTTGGGTAACATTAAGTCAATTTTTACAGTCTAAATCTTGCTCCTTAAGAAATTTTACAAATTTTTACTTACAAGCACATGCACTCAGGTTTCAGGTACTCAATTTAGCTATGCAGAAAACTGAAGAAAACACTTCCTCTAGATTAAAGTGTTATTTAGTGGAAAAACATTTTACAAAGTGACAAAAAAATTCTTGCCCTGTAGGATTAGATTGTGCTGGAATTGTAATTACATATAGATTTTCAAAGATCCAAGCAAGAAAACATAATTTATCTTTCTTTTTCTTGATTTCATTTTGACACATTAGTTAAAATAATCAAAACACCAATCAAATCAGTTGAATATGGTTTGTTCCAGGTCAGCATTTTTGAAAATAATGTCATTTTTAATTCCATCTAGTGTGTCGAATACACATATAAAAATGTTTCACACTGTAATCAATTAATCCATGACTCTCATGAATTTCAGAATAAAAAGAATTATTTACGTATAATTTTCTATGGTGTAATTTTTCCTAATTGGAACATTGTTGTATCATTAGGAAAAAAATCTGGGTAAAACAAACATGGGAAACTTAGAGCAGATAATTACCCAGAGATCACTAAATAGAAATGTTATGCACCTCCAGTACTAAATTACTGATAGCATGTGTTTAACAAAAATTTGAAAAACATGTTTTTATTCTTTCTTATAGTGATCCATGAGCTGTAGTCAACTGGCTGAACATCCTGGGATAATACTGATGTCCTGTACATTTTTGACATGTAAGAATCTCATTTGTAGTGACTTGAAATTGAATCACGCCTGCCAAAGGGAAGTAGAGTGTCAGTATCATGTTTCCCAAAGTTTAAGAGAGCAGGCAATACTCTCTTTTCAAGCTTAGTTGATGTACTACTCCACTAAATGCCTCCTGGCCACTGAAAACATATTCCCAAATACCTACACTTTTATAAGAATATGGGCAAGAGCAGACACTGATAGCAAATATTTTTAAAGGATCTAAGAAAAAATTGTGAATGTGTAAACTCTAAAGAAAAATGGTACAAAGGCAGTGGGGTTTGCCTTAAATTTTTGTTAGTTTTTGTTTGGGTGTTTTTAAGGGAAAAAAAAAAAGGCAGGGACTCACACTGTCCCCAAACAAAAACAACAGAAAAGGGACGCACACAGTCCCCAAACAAAAACAAACCACAAAAAAGGGTAAAAATCTGATGCTATCCATAATGATCCTGCCCTCTCAAGATCCAGGATAAAAGGAGGAATCAGCTCTTGTCTTCACAGCCATTGCTTCGATCCACCAATCCAAGCCAATTCAAGTATTAAAACTCCACAGATTTTCTGCTGATCCCTAATATATCAATGCATGTCCCTGAATAGGCAAGGAGGGAGTGCTTTGTCAAATCAAAGTTTGATCATGCCTCTTTAATGGGGAAATTCTGCTATGAAGGTGCACTCTAAATACCAAAAAAACCCAGGGAAATTTCTCCCGGGCATAGCTTGTGTTTTTTGACCATGTCAACAAGGTATAATGGACTATGGTAGGATACTGTTTTATCAAGGATGGAAATGTGGAGAAGGACAAAATATGTCCAATTTTATGGTCCTGATTTCAGTTTATCTTTAAATTAGAGACATGTGATCTCTGTGTGAGCCTCATAATCAAAATTTAGGGCAACCATCATGTGAAAAAGCATAGGGAAATTAATATTTTTCACTTTTTTCCTGTGGCTAAAGAACATAAAAAGTGTCAAGGCCTTATGCCAAAGTGTTCTTTCAAAAGCTGCCATTTGTCCTCACAGCTTCTGTATTTAAAGCTGGAATTTTGAAAACACCTGGAAAAATAAATCATGAAATTGTAAAAATAAAGATTTTAAAATGAAATAAAAAAAGAGACTGACCTAAACTACAGTGAACTATTTTTCCTTCCCCAGCAAAAATGTAAGTATGATTGGGTTTTGAGTCCCCCAAAGCTCATACAATCCCTCTTAACTGTTAAATTCTTTCATGCCTCAAAACGACTCTAATATCAGTTGAACCTGTCTGAACTCCACACCCAACAGAGCCTTTGGCAGTCATTTGACTTTCAGATTATGTGAGTGACTATAGCTAACAATTAATCTGTTATTTTACTTCAACATCTTAAAAAAAAACCTACATTATGTCAAACAGCAGTAAAATCAATTGCTCCTCTCTCTCTGGCTTTTGCTTTGTGTTCTCAGTTTTGCCTCAGCCTAGAGCTCTGTGAACATAAGAAGTGAATATCCAGCCCTTGGTGGTGATGAGAGGACACACTCATCCAGGTTCAGACAACATGGGAAGGTAAAAGAAGGTGTTATTGGGGTAGCTGATGCCTGCATTCTATTTTTTCTCCTAAATTTCAGGGACTCATGTTCTTAGAACAAGCAGTTTGAACACACTGCTTGAATTGAGTAGCACTGCCCACTCAGTGAATACTTAAATAAGTGAATTTAAGTGTTAGAATAATAGTCTGCAGGATTAAAATGCCTTTTCTGAATGCTTCACTCTACCAGTCCTGGCATAGATAATGCCTTCGATAAAATTCCATCCAGGTTTTTTTCTGGTTTTTTTGTTTAAATTACAGCTGCATATATTGAGAAGAAGGGGTTTTTTCTTCAATTCCTCTCTCCTAAATACATTTTCAAATGTAATTTTAAATTATGTAGCAGTTCAGAAGAAAAGTGAATCACTCATTCTCTCCATCTTTAATAAAAATTCAAATAATTTAAAAAAAAAAGAAAAAAAACAGAAAAAGTCACATCTTATCTCAGGATCTTGCTTAAAGATCATGTAGATATCATCTGCACATACTGACCATGGCTTATTTCAGGGAATTGTTCACACATACAAAATCCAGAGAAGTACAAATTACCCCAAAGTCCAGGGCATTTGTGTTGGACAGGTGAGGTAAAACACAGTGGGCTTGTTCAAATTCCATTGATGTTAGAATCTGAAATGCCACAAAATTTCCAGTTTCCAGATACATTAATTAAAGAAGCATCATGTGATGTCTCTGACAAGGTGACACAAAATGGATAGAGATTAAATAGATTTGCTTAGAGGCAGACTGCAAAATATATGTATTTTGGATATGTATTATTTGGGGCATATAAATGTATAAAGCTGTTTCTTGTACCAGTCAGTCACTGACCATCAGTAATGAAGGCATAAAACTTGACTTTTATTTCTTTATTTTACTTACTTGTTTACCTTCTCCTACCACTTCTTTCCTTTTCTCTTTTTTAAGCCCTTTTATTCAAACAGAAGATGTCTGCTAATATCTAAACAGGATAGAGCCATTTACAAGTAAGATGACCAATGTGTCAAATCAAACAACATTTATTTTACCAGGGGAGAGGAATATGTTGGAAGAGAAATCTGTTTTTATATTTAGAATATACTCAGAATGTTTGAAGGGAAGCAGAACAATCTCCCACAGTTGTCTCTCAACAGAACACACTGAGTCACCAGTAAGGCTGTGTACAAAAGCAATAGTTTTACCTCTCTCTTCTTCCAATTTTCCACCTCAGTTTTTCTCTTCCTTGAAATGGTTCATGGAGAAACCAGAACAGATATAAATCAATGAGCTTGCAGCAGACAGATCAGCTGCATGCTGAGTGTCCTTCTCTGAGAGAACACTGAGCACCTCTGGAAGATGATTTGTGTAGCAGCAGAGGTTGAATTCCTTTGAACATCAGCCTGCCATGATAAGGATGCTTAGGAGGGTTTGACCCCAAGAGTATGGAACTGCAATAAAATCTTTGTAAGGGAGAAATCATCAGCAAAGCTTATTAATTCATGTGTTTTTAAGGGAGAATACCCAGCAACATGAGTCCCTTGGTGTACACTTTCTGCCTGTATGAAAACATTTTTACACTTTATCCTTAAATTTTTTCTTACTAAAATTGCAAAGAAACCCCAAAACAAAAAAACCTCATCCTATAAAAGACCCAGCATTTTTACAAATTTACTAATATTATTTTAAAAGGAGCAGTTATTTTAGAAAATCTTTTATGCTGGCTTCATTCTTCAAGAAGGATTCCAAAGTAATTTATGAATATTATTTATTTTAGATTGTGTCTACTAAGAACATGCACCTTAAAATGTAATCTGAAATGGGTGGCACAAGCACATCTCTGTTCAAGTATGTCCATAAGTGAGTGATGGCCTTGTGTGATAAAACCACTGTATTTTTATGTGTGTTGGAGGAGACTCCTTTACTTCTATCTCACAACACAAGGTATAATGATGGTATTTTTGACAAATACTTCTATAGATAAACATGTTCTAACTCTTGACATATTTACATTAAATGCAGCTCCTGAGCTATGATTTCTTTGGATTTGCTTGCTTCCATGCATCTCTCTGAACAGACAGCAAGGTTCCAGGAAACTCTCTGCTAGGCAGCCACATGCCTGAATGGAGCTTTTCTTCTTAAAGTTTGGGTTCTTCTTGGGTCTTGCTAGATTGTTGCTTTCTGCTTTTCACTTTTTCAAGCAGTCATTTGTCCTTCTTTGATAATTTCTTCTTTTTTTTTTATTTAATGTGCTGGTTTATTGGTTGAAATACCTGCTTTGCTTTAATAGAAGGGTTAGGATTTTTTTTTTAATAAGTAGGAACATAGAAAATTCAGCAGGTCATAATCATAATTTCAATCTTTTAACATTGCTTGCAGCATTCATGGAGCTTTTAACTGAATTTTACATTAGTCCATAAATAAACTCATACAACCAGAACACCTTAGAATTGATAGTTTTACTTTTATCCAGGTAGCCTGAAGGTTTACAGCCTTGTTTCAATAAGTTCACTGATGGGAGGGGTCAGCTTGGCTGGAAAACATCCAAGGTCCCTACAGGTGTTAGAAATTCAGCAGTAGTGCTGGCAATTCAGCAGTTTGCAGTTTTCTCCTTTTGCATTTCATAGCATCTTCTTTAGGATTTTATTAAAAATATGAGCTATCTTACAGGTGGGTCCACCTCTCAGACAATCAGAGTGATGTTCCAGTGCTGAAAATCTGGGCAATCACACTTTTTGGAAGGACTAACACACGTGTTATCTAACAACATAACATTTTGAACTGAGCATCCTGACTCAGTCAACTTGATTTCTAGTTTCAACTTCTGTGCTCTAAATTTGAATTATAATAATCTCTATAAAATGCATCCATGGATTAGTGAATGGATGTTCCAATCTTCTTTTCTCAAATTTATGAGGAGGTTAAGAATCAGAATCTTTCATATACTCAAATATTACTTTGGAAAAAAAATCCATCAAGCTCTTTGTGTGTAAGTGCAATGCCTGAGTACATCAAGCATTGATGCCAATGGTTCTCTCAATGATTAAATGTTAGCAATATGCTGAGTTTGTATCAGCTCCAAAAGGTGTGTCTCAAATTATGATTTACTGACACTTGTATGCACTATTGACCAGCTCATGTCTTGTGTGCTCAGCAAAAAATGATTTTCAGCTTGCCAGATACTCAAAAGATCATTTGACATGGCTTTGTGCATTTCTGAAGTGAAAGACACATGCTTTCATCAGCTTTTTCATGATCTTTATATCAGTGTGCCCAAAGTCTTCTATTTTGCCCTTTAACATTGACTTATTTCACAGCTATATTTGCTGAGTGCATTTCTGCCATTTAGTTTTTATTTTATTATACTTTCCACTTCTTTAAATTTCCCCTTTTCTTGATAAATTCATTTTGTAAATTAAATCAGCATGGCCTGACCCAGAACATATTAAAATGCCATTTGAATCAGTTCCAAATTCAGGTGCTTATAAAAACAAATTTGAGGAGCAACTGTAATTCCAATCCCTCCTATGTTATGTGAGCAATTTAAAATTATGGAAATACTTCCAATTTTATAGGCAATTTGAAATGGAAAACAACCAGTGTTCTGGGCATGTGCTCTGTATATAGGGATTTTGCAAATAGAAATGCTTTTAAAGTTAATTTCCATGTGCACCCAGTTACCTGGTTCTGTATATGTTAAAACTAAAATTGCACATTTATATTTTAAAATTCAAAATGCTGCATTTATTGGACTTCTAGCCAATAAAGAGAACATCTGTACTATAAATGCAATCTGTCTGTTCAATTTGTACTAAATTCATGGATCTTATAATGGATCTATATATTTACTATTCTTTCCATATAATAGAACACATTTTGTGGGGAGAGGAAGAGAGCAGACTGTGTTCATTGGCTCCTTAGGCTATAAAATATTATAATAAAATATATAATATTTTACTTATGCCCATATATTGCTATAAGCACACAAAATCCTGACATTTAGACATGAATCTGTTTTCGTAATGCTTAATTTTTATTTTTTTTGTTCCTCGCACTGCATGTTATCTTGGTTTTATCATTTTTCTGCCACTTAGGATAAAATCTTTAGGCAGGTGGAAGTACTAGGAGAATTAGGTTCAGCTGTGAATATCAGTGGTACAGAACTTCACTTTAGCAATGCTGCTGTTTATTCCTTCATTAAATGAGCAATTGTTTCCTAGCTGACAGCTTAAGCACCCCTATAAATTATGAAAGGTTGTATAATGAAAAATTAGGAAATATTTTTCATATAGTAAGAATAAATCTATAGCAAACTAAAGCTACCTCTAGTCAATATGGTGTATACAGAGCTGGTGTAATACCTGTCAGTGAGAAGAAATATTACAGTTAATCAGTAAGAGCAGCAAAGACAGATCATCTCAAAGTGGACTTACCAGTATAGACATACCCCTGCATTTTCAGATATCTAATTATTAATAGGTGATTAAATAAAAAATAAAATCTTTTTTAAAATTTAAAAATTAATAATAATCTAGACTCTTCCCTGAGGAAGCTGTGCTTATACCTGTGTATGAAAAGACATCAGAGGAAAGGTTGTTAAAAGCTTGTGTTAAAAGCAGGTTTTTGTCTGGTGCAGACCACAATAGCTCCACAGATGGATCCAGGCACCATCAGAGGACAGCAGCACACAGCAGCAGCTGGGGCTGCTGGAAAGTGAAGGCCCAGAGCACTCACGATGGCAGAGAACTGTAAATTAAACTCCACATGACCAGGCAGAAATTTGGAAAGGCAAAGGCTTATGATGACACTGCAAGGGTTGCACAGGGTAGAGTGGTTCACATTTTTCAGGAACTACACTATCTGTTAGAAGAGGAAGCATTAGGTATAGGTTTTGTCTAAGCCAAAAGAGAATTAAGGGTCTAAAGGGAAAAAATTAAACTGAGAGTGAAAAGGAAGCATTAGGTATAGGTTTTGTCTAAACAAAAGAGAATTAAGGGTCTAAAGGGAAAAAATTAAACTGAGAGACTAAAGAATAAACTTTATTCTTAGGCAAAAGAGAGTCACTAAAATATCCTTGAAAGAAAATGTGTTCAAAACCCAGATAAAAAATAATAAATAAAATCTGAATAAGGACTAATCATTTTGAATACATTTTCTCCTGCACAAGAAGTTTGCAAACAGAAAAACCCTTAAGCTTAACCAATTGTTTTAAAGGAATGCTTTTTAAAAGCAGCCCTCCATTTAGTCTTTAAATTCTTCCCTAGACATCCATCATGACTGCGAGAGAATATGTGACTGGAAGCACTATTGCCAAAATCTACAGCTGTAGAAAATGCAGAATACCAGAAAGTTAAATATCATACAAGCATACTTTAAACCAGAATGTAAATAATTGTTAATATGTATAAATCTGTTCCTGTAGGTCAGAAAAATTACTCTAAATTAAATTGGTTTTGTCCTAGTCATGCCTACTATGAAATGTCTCATTTGCTGCCAGTCCTTCTTAAAAGAGGTATTAGAGGGGTGGACAGAAGCCACTTTCCTGCCACAGCCAGCAGATCACTTTGGGCAGTTTTTTCAGTGCAGTTGGGCTTTTTTGCATTTTTAGTTGTTCATACATTAATAATGCACTGTTGTGTACATTATATGACTCATATCATGAAATATTATATTAATATTGTTTATAAGCACAGGGTGTTGGGCTGTGTGAGAAGGAGCCTTGCCCCTTATTTGTCAGAGAGGCATAAAAGCCTAACTTTAGTACACAAAGTCAGAATTCCTGTTACTGTCTCACCATTTCAATAATTTTGGTGTGTTTCTGAGGCTCATCTTCTTTCTGTCCAGGTTAGAACTCTGAAATATGAAAGGTTCAGAGGTTTGTATTTATCTGTCAATACTTCTTGAGTGATAAATTAATAGACACCAGCTTAATAAGAAAGGAATTCATTTAATGACATGACATTTCTTGTTTATTTGTTAGCTTCTTCATTAGCTATTCCATTATAACGTCAAAGTAGCTACACATGACCTCTGAGATAATCTCATTCAGACAGTTGTGGAACCACCCAGCAATTTCATCATTCCAATGCCATTTGAAATTTTCAAAAATAGGCTTTATTATTGTCTTATGATTTCACCCAGATTTTTTCCAATCATAATTTATAATCAGTTTATGCATTTCCAAACTGAATTCTCAACTGTTATTTATTAAAATATTTGAAAAACACATCCAGCAGTAATGGCTGTGGTGTTCCCCACTTCTCAGAGGCAAGTTCTGCTTCAGAAATCAGTAAGACACTGGACTCAGTGATTTGGTTCTTTCCACTGGCTGCCTGTAAGCACCATTCACAGCTTACTGACTTCAACGGGAGAGTCCAGTGACTTCCATGAGTCTTTTATTAGTTCCATAAAAGGCAACCGATTAGCATGACATTCAATTCTGTTGGATGGTTCTTGTATTTAGTCTTATTTTTGCACACAAAAGTGGCTGTTTCTTATGATGGCATATGAATAATGCAACAAAGAATGCATATGTTCTAACATGTAAAATTTATATTAAAGAAAAGACATAAGAAGAGACTTCTATGCAGTTGTAATGGTGCTGCATCCAGTTGGCATCAGGCGGTCCCCATCAGGAATCAGCCCAGTTCTGTTTAATATCTTTATTGATGATCTGGTTGAAGGGATTGAGTCTACCACTAGCAAACTTGTGGGTGACACCAAGTTAGGTCAGAGTGTCATTCTGCTGGAGGAGGAAGGGCTCTGTAGAGGGACCTGGACAAGCTGTATGGATGGACTGAGACCAACAGCATGAGGTTCCACAGGACCAAATGTCTACAGGAGGGTGTAGTGAGGTGTGGGTTGGGCCCTTCTCCCAGGCAACCTGTGACAGGACAAGATGACATGGTCTCAAGCTGTGCCAGGACAGGCATAGGTTGGATATTAGAAAGAAATACTTCACAGAAAGGGTTACTACATGCTAGAATGGGCTGCCCAAGGAGGTGGTGAAGTCCCTGGAGGTGTTTAATGAAAGCCTGGACCTGGCACTCAATGCCATTGTCTGGTTGACAGGGTGGTGTTCAGTCATAGGTTGGACTTGAGGATCTCAGAGGTCTTTTCCATCCTAACTGATTCTGTGATTCTGTGAATTCAGACAGTTCTATCGGTAGGATTTTTACCAGTATATTTCACTGTGCCTTGAATACCTCTCCAGGTCTCCAAGAATTCAGTGCATTTGCAGTTCATCCTACAAAGGAGTTAATCAAGAGTACTGGATGTGATGAAATAGAAAAAGTGAAAAGAAGTGACAAAAAAGCCCTGACTTACAAAGCAGATAATAGGATTAAAACCAGATGTGTAATGTAAATGTTTTGGACCCTTTTAGGTGCAATGAATCTGCTGAAGCCGCCAGTGTTTCTGTGCTGACTGCAGAGGAAGACCAGATGATAAGTTAAGGCAAAGTTACTAACATTTGAATGGCTAAAATTAGGGTGAGTTAAATGCCACCTACACACTTATGAAGGAAATGTGAGACAAGCTTATGAAGCCGCAGTCAGCCCAGAGATGGTAAGGTCCTGATGAAAGAAGGGAAAAGCAAGAAGGAACACTTGGGAGATTTATTCAACCACCCTGTCCCAGACAGCCCTGCTGTGCATGATGGGGATGATTCATTCAGGCAATCCCAATGCCAAGGAAAACAGCTCTATGCAATCTGAAATGAAAATGGGCCGTCATGAAGCTGAGGAACAGCACATTTCCCCGGGGTGGATAATATCCATGCAAAGCTACAGAGGCAGAAAGGAGACTTTAAGATATTTGGTAGATTATTCATCATTGTTTCTTTCAGAAGTGAGTTGGATGGCTGCCCTTCAAGTGCTGAAGCACGAACAATTATGTATTGTACATATTTGAAAAAAAAAATATCCCAGTAACTTGGACATATAGTCCCACTGGATTTTGCTGAGATCTGAGTGCAGACTATTTATTAAATCACACCAGCAGAGGAAAACACAAGTCTACCAAATAATGTAGCAAAAGAGCATTCTTGACATGATGACCAGGACTGGGCTGTCACTGAGGGAAGAAAGTTGATTGCATAGCTTAGGGGAGAATGCACTGGGTAGTGACTGTATGAGAAGTAAAGAGTTAAATAGGATTGCTGAAGAATGTTGCAACAGCACTGGTCTGACAGTGGATATTTATATCAGTATACCTGTATTATACCACTATACCAGTTTTGTTGGTTTATCAATATATCAAGATTCATGTGAATACCAGAAGATATAAATATACAGATAGATGGATTAGATATAGATATAGATAGATAGATAGATAGATAGATAGATAGATAGATCTCATGTGAATACCAGGAGATATAAATATACAGATGGATTAGATATAGATATAAATAGATAGATAGATAGATAGATAAATAGATAGATAGATATACATCAGCAGTAGCACAGAGAATCCCACCTCAGTTCAAAAGTTAAAGTAATCAGCTTAATTGTCTTTGGCATATTATTCTTTCTTCTAAATATAGAAGTGGGAGTGAAGCTTTGTCAACAGAAAAGGCTTCCCAGGGGAAGTAGTTACAGCATCCAGCCTTCCAGAGTTCAAGGAGCATTTGGACAATGCTCTCTGGCAGTGGTGTGATTCTTGGGTTTATCCTGTGCAGGGCCAGGGGTTGGACTTGACAGTCCCAGTGGATCTCTTCCAACTCAGCATATTCTGTGATTCTGTGATCGATGAATAGCAGGTGTACTGAACACATGCTGCTCAACTGGACTTACTGCTAGGTCCATGCTTGTGTACAAAATAAACACATACTTTTGCGAGAGCCTGAATTTTACTGTCGAAACTTCTGCAATAAGATTAACTCAATTAGTGGCTCTGCAGACTACTACAATCTATGCTGAGCTAAAACACATGTGTCTGGGTGACCTGGGGTCCAAACACCTGCAAATCTCTTTGCATGTTATTCACCATATTTATTGTGGTTTTATCCTATTTATTTTGATTGGGTGTCATTTGTTTTTGCACAGAGCTTCATGTATTTTAGAAACAGAAGTAATATATACATAAATGTTTCATTATTATTACTATTACTACTACTACCAGCATCTGGAGGTTGAGGAATTAGTTTGGAGAATTTTCCCAGATGTTAGACAGAGTTTGTTTTGGTGAGCAATGAGCAGGAGAAATGGGACAGAACAAAACTGATGTGACAGGAGCACCTGCAAAGTGAAGAGAAAAATCTCAGAACCATCAGAGGAATAGATTTGACACCTTCTGAATCTCCAACAGAACTCTCTAGAGGAGAGTACCATGATGAAGGATGGTGTGATTTAGCTCCTGAGTACTACCTTAAATTTTTCCTGTCACTAGCCAATCTAAGTCTCATTAACAATGCTAGGGAGAAGGGTGAAATAAAGGCATATATGTCAGATTTAGAGGCTGTTCCTGAAGCTCCCACACATGATTTCTGTTCTGCTGAAATATGATTTCCTGTCACCACATTTGAGATGGTTGTTTCACTTGAAGCCCAGGTCTGTCTAAGAGAAGGCCTTTTTCCAGCAGTGAGATCAGAAACTGATTTAACTTGAAAAGATGATTGTTACTTAATAACACAGATAGAAGCCTTCACATAAAACTCAGTTTATGGGATGAAAAAGCATGGTGAAATGAGAAAAGTGTGACTAAACATGAAGGAAATAGTGAGGGATATTTACAGACATGGCTAATAAGGTATCTTTCAACGAGCTTTTGAGGCCTGCTCTGGAGTTACTCTTAGCACCGTTTGGAGACTAAAACTGGCTATTCACTATTCACTGTAACCTAACCAGAAATTCGGGCACTTTTCTTGAACCTGGGTGGGCAGTTTGGCAGTTTTTTAAAAGTAGGGTTTTAACATTGGTTATTTTTTTTTCTTAGTCAACTGGTTTCCCTCTGCCCCTTGGCTCCTGCAATTTTCTGATTACCATGCAAACAGATCACAGGCGTGGGTCAGGAAGAGGTTCACAAATGTACCTCATTTTGCATATGTCATTAATTTGAATGTTATAACTTATATGTTCATCACATTTAGATCTTCTGCTTGGTGATGGCTCTTAGTTTTTGATTTACTGAAGCTTTGAGCCTTCCTCCGGTGGAAGGGTGTTTGCACCATGTTCTTTTCTGACCAAATTGCACAGTAATGCTTCTATTAGTTCTGACTTCAAAACCTATTTCTGCCTTTATTAAAACCATTCCTTCTTTTAAATGATTTTTCCTTTGAGATAAAGCAAATCTGTGTTAACATCCTCCCATTTAGTTTGCATGGAAATCCACTTAAAAATTCCCCAAATCTCTGTCAAGAAAGTAACTAAAAAAGTACTAGTAACTACTTCCTTCTTACACCATAATTACTTCTCCTCTTACCAGAAATCCTCAAAAAAATGTAATACATTCTGACAAAAACTGAAATTTGAGTGTTCTTTTCAAGTTGAGAAATGGATAATGCAAGAAACAGAGAAAAATAAGTTGAATTTGGTTGTATTTCTCCATATCTTTTTAATCAGCATTTATTTATACTTGGAAAACCACTTCCCTTTTGAATGCTTCCCTAACATTAAGGCCAGAAACTTTCATCAACATTTTACAAGCATGACTGAAGCTAAACAGCATATTTATACTGGATGGCATCAACCCAGTTATAACTTCAAGGAGATAAATATTGCAGCTGAATGTGTTGATGCAAAACTGTGGTGAAAGAAAAAATAACTTGATATTCTACTCAGAGATATATCAAAAATGTGACCAGGTTAGTGCTTTAATTCAGAGCTAGATGTTCCTGAAGAGTCTGGGGGGACTGTTTGGTATTTTGAATATCTGCCATGAAATGTCTAGCATAGATTTGGAGAAGATTTTATACAAAGTTATTCCTCTGCAAACCTTGAGTCATTCGGGTTATGAGTTTTATATAAGAGCAAATATGCAGGGTCAGGATGAAATGTTCATCTAGTCCCGTGTCCTGTCGCTGACATGTCAGCCAGTGGCCATGTCGGGGGAGGACACGGAATGAACAGGAGAAAGATTTAGTGACACTTTGCAATTATGGTCCTCCAGCTTCCAGGGATATCTCCCAGCTCCAGGACTTTCTTTGCCAGAAATTGTAACCTTGTGGTTTTGGGAACATTACAGAAACAAGTCCAACATTTATAATGATTGAATCCAGCTTTTTTCTTTCTCCCCCATTTTTTTCCTTTTTTTTTTTTTTTTTTTTACTACATTTCACAATCCCTCAAACTATTGGAAATATGTACACAATTTTTTCATACTTGATCATGGAAAGCATAGATATTTCTCTCCTGTGACTTATGATATGTCACAGGAATGCACTCCCTTGCAAATCTCTGTAATTTCAGGTTTTTAGCAGAAGCTGAAGTACTTCAAATTTATATATGTGTGTGTATATATATATATATATATAAAGAATGTGTTGTTTGGAACAATGCCCACCTTACTGCAAGCAGGAATTATTAGAAATCTCACAGGAAAAATTTTTCTTATGCAGATTTTTCCTTCATTTGTAATAAGAGTCAGGTACTTTGTAGTTTTCTTAGATAGTTCATTCTTAAAGTACAAAGCTAACTCTTACTCTAATAAGAATTTCAGTTTAGATCAAATTAAGATAAGAAGAGATAATAAAGGCATCGAGCCTTATACCAAGGTATTACTCTACTGTTATTTACACAGAATAATAGATTATGTACATATATATTTATTTATTTATAGATAAACACTGTGGACATGAGGTCACAATGATGAAGGGATGTAGGTAGTATACATGCATATATCAGACATAGTTGTGTTTTTTCCTTGTGTTGACATGTATTGTAGGTCCTGGTTTTCCAAGTGGATGGGAGTCAAAATTCCTGCCATGGCCCTGACTCTTATATTCTGGAAGCCAAATCCCCAGAGTCCCTAGACCTCCCTCCAGATGCAGAATGCAACTCCCAGCCAGACAAGTATGCACTACTATAAGGTTTTTGCTTTTATAGCTAGGTATAATTTCGCATTTTATGTGTCATTGTTCTGCAAAATAGATACACAGGAACAACCACAGAAGGAAATTTGCCATGGCTATTCCTCTGGCTTTGAGAAGTGGTGGCACCTCATATTGGTCATATTGATGGAGATCCCAGTCAGAAAGGAGCTTTCCCTATGTCATTTGTGCACTTTATTTTTTACTAGATTGCTACTGATATGTGGAGACATTTCTCATTTCCAGAGATCACAGAAATAAGTTTTGTTCTATTTCATTTCACCTACCTATCTGTAGACACCTTGCCAGAGCACTGCCCAAGTCCTAGGTACTGTAGTTTACTTTTTTATTGCCATCATTCTGATTTTGGGACTTTTAACTTTCTTCTATGTGAAAACTTCTCATAAGCAGAGAGGTTTTTTACACTTTAAAAAAACCCCAAAAACAAAACCAAAAAGCCACTTCCTTTATTTGTCAAGGTGAACTGAAAAGCTTTAACAATAAAAATCCATGTGTCTGAATATCACAACATTATGAATGTTCTTATCAATCAATTCACTGTAATTTTATTCTCCCTTTTGTAACATGGCAGTACAACAGTTCAGTGTTGCTTCCCCAGTCAAGGAAATTGATGATGCATTGTTCTGTACCACTATCTTCTCTCTTGTGTGCCAATGATTATGTATATTACATAGTAAGATATTTCTTATTGCACATTTATCTTATTAACATATTACAGAGTAAGATATTTCTTATCGCTGCTCAGTGTGAGTTTATTGCTTTACCACATGTATTGCTTTACTTTTATGTTGCCTTCATGTTCCTAGCAAGAAACACACATGTTGTCAGAAAAACAAAGGGGAAATATAGCTCCTCAAGAAAATTTAGATAATGCAATATTCACACTAAAATTTTTGAAAGTAGATC